GTAAATGAATAATTTCCATACCGGGTACGTCTATTCTTTTATTACTAATAGAAAAAGTATTGGTAATTTCCTTTGCTAAATAAATGCATATTCCTCCCCTTCGACGGGTACCTCTATCTACGAAATCTAGTAAAATTATCAATGCTTACAATAGCATCGAGGATAGAAGAATTAAGCCACGTTTCTATTAGGAGCATAATGTAAGGTTTTAAAAGTTGAAAAGTACTTATACATTCATTAAATTTGAACATAAGAGAGTTTATATTCGTATACATAAGAAGCCAATCCGTAAATTTTGCTGCATATATTAAATCGTAAGGTCATTTTTTCCATTATTTATACGAGTTTCAAGCTCAGTACGAAGTTCCTTTAAACGAAGTTGCTGCATAGGTGTCTTGTCATCAGTAACAGAATAAGTTTTGGAAGATTTATTTTATTTAGAGAATTATTAGTCTATTTTTGTTACGAAGAATTTTTCGAGTGTGGTGCTCAGAACTTATTATCATTTTTATCATGCGGAGATAACGTTTATTTTGATTTGGTTTACCAAATCTATAAAATGTAATAGGACTTTCTTGACATCCAATGACTTCTAGGGCAAAAATGTATTTTATTCTTATCATGATTTTTTTTATTTTGTGCGTCTCCTCTAGGTTCAGGGATGCTTCTTATCAAAAAATTTTTGAAACGAGATATGCGGTCAGCGGCTTCATTGGCAATGCTGTCGGTAAATTCTGTTGTTATAATAGAATCAAGGTGATTTAATTAATTGCTGAATTCAGATAGTTTAATATCAATGTCTTTAATTTTCTTTTTAATGTCCGCTTTAAATTTGACTAGTAGACTCTTAAGTTCAGTAATATTCCCAATGTTTGAAATACATGCATTGCAAAGTATACATTTCTCAAGAACTTTTTGCCTCGTTACTCGATTATTGACCGAAAGATCCGTACAAGCAATGTGTATTGGTTTCTTACAGCCATCAAACTAAAAATGTGTGTGAATCTACAGAGATATAAGAGACAGTATATTGAGGCACATGGACTTGGAGTCAGTAACGAGTTGTCACAAACACATTCTTCAAATTACCACCTCGCAAGATGTGCACGTGGAAATCACCTCAAAACAGACCATTGAGAATTATTAGGAATCAAATAGACTACATTTTAGTAAATAAAGGTTCCGAAACAGCTTTACATCTGTCAAGACTTTACCTAGAGCAGACTTGGAGACAGACCACGTTCCACTAGTGTGAGTATTTCGAGTCAAACTCAAAACAGTGCAGAAAAGGAAAGCACAATCATACGACCTACGTATGCTGAAAGACCTTGATACGAGGATGAGAGCCACGTTAAATAAGCAAGTGACTGTAATTAGAGACGGATCTAACGAAAAACAAACGATCACACATATTACAGAAATAGTGCAAAATGTTAAGGATAAACAATTAAAGACAGATAGATTAATGAAGAAAAAATCATGGATGACAGATGAAAACCTGAAACTAATAAACGAGAGAAGAGAAGTCAAAATTAACCTAGACAAATACAAAACCATAAATATATTAATAAGAATGAAAATCAGAGAAGCGTAAGAAAAAGAAGCAATGAAAAGATTGAGACTCTGCAGTCAAAGTACGATAGTACAATGTACATAGGAAAGTTAAAGAACTTACAGGGGGACTAAGACGAAGGCAGAAAGAAAATATAACTGATTTTGATGGAAACATCATCTTGGACAAACAGAGTAAAATAGAAACGTGAAAAGAATATCTAGAAAAATTATTTGAAGATTAAAGAGATAACACCTTTGAGCTAGAAGAAGAGGTAAATGATGGACCAAGAATATTACAGCAGGAAGTTTATTCCATCATATTACAGTTAAAGGATGGCATAGCGACAGGCCCTGATAATATACAAGCAGAACTACTTAAACCAATGGACAACGAATCAATAGCAATAATTCAAAAGATATTTAACAACCTATACAACTCTGGAGAAATGCCAACATAATGGCTAAAATCTGAGTTTATTGCACGTCCAAAAAAAAACAGGAGCCAAAAAATGAGAAGACTGCCATATTGTAAGCCTTATGAATCATCTCTTAATATTGTTCTTAACGATAATTCATAAGAGAATCTACAAGCTGTGTGAAAGTAAAAATTTCCCCAATCAGTTCAGGTTCACAAATGCTGTTGGTACTAGAGAGGCTTTGTTCTCAGTACAAGTCTTATTCCAGATATGCAGAGACGTCAACTGCGACGTTTACGCATGTCTGGTTGATTACTAGAAAGCGTTTAATCGAGTACAGCACGCCAAGATGATCTTCTTCTTAGGGTGCCTGTCCGTTTCGAACGTTGGCGATCATTCTGGCTATGATGATTTTGTTGGTTGCTATACGAAATATCTGTGTTAAGGTCAAGATGATGCAAATACTAAAAGAAGCAGGAATTAACAATCAAGATCTGAAAATAATTAAAAATATTTACTGGAATCAGACAGCAAATCATAGAGTTGAAGGTGAACATACTATGTGAAAATTATGCGTGGTGTGAGTCAAGGCTGTATTTTGTCTCCTATCATCTTCAATCTATGGTTACCGGCTAAACAGCATTAGATATGCAGAGGAAACCATAGTATTTGCGGACAACTTAGAAGACCTACAAGTTCTTATGAAACAAAATATTACAGTCAATAATATGGACTCAGTATAAACATCAAGAAGACAAAGCTTATCATAATTAGCAAGAAAAGGATAACAGAAGGTCAACTCTACGTCAATTAATCCCATGTAGAAAGAGTGACGCACCATAACTACCTCGGCACCATAATAAATGAAGAATGGACCGGCAACCAGGAGATTAGAACACGCATCAAAAAAGCTAGATTCAAGCAGATGGGAGCCTTCTTCAAGAGTCACAACCTCTCTCTTGATACAAAAGTAAGAATGGTGCGATGCTACGTCTTCACTGTCTTTTTTTATGATGTTGAATCGTGGACCTTGTATGAAGATATGCGCAGAAAACTGGAAGCATTTGAGATGTGGCTATATCGGAGAATACTTGAGATCCAGTGAACTGACCGAGTCACAAATGAGAAGGTCCTCAGAAGAATGAATCAGAACCGAGAGGTATTGACTAACATCAAATCTCGAAAGTTGCCATTCTTTTGACATATTATGCAAAATGAATCCAGATATGCTCACTTTCAAGCCATGCTGCAGGGAAAAATATTTAGATAACGAAATCCAGGAGGATGAAGAACATCTTAGTTAAAGAACCTCAGAATCTGATTTAATACAATATCTATGCAGCTTTTTCGCGCTGCTGCAGATAAGATAAATAATACATAAAGATAAAGTCGTCAGTACGGTGCAGCCAAGTAAGAAAAGGAACAAGTTAGCTTTAAAAAGGATCCTACAGGCGCAATGTAACCAATTTGTTGCATTAGAGTTAGAAGACTTTGATGGTAGCCAGCGCAACCATTAACCATAACCACGGAGGAAGCTACAGCTAACTCAGGAAAGGAATGCCAAACGTTAAAACGTTTAAAACAAATAGAAAATGTTAATACGAGTGAATAATATCATCATCATCATCATTTAACCCGGATCTATCCATTGCTGGATATAGGTCTCCCTCAGTCTTTTCCATGTATTTCTGTTTTGTGCTGTTTGCATCCAATTTTTGTCGATCCGTTTTATGTCATCCGACCATCTTGTTGGTGGACGACCTCTACTTCGATGTGCTTCTTGTCTCGGTCTTTACTGTATTATTGGCTGTGTCTATCTGTTATCCGACATTCTATCTATGTGCCCCGCCCATGTGCTACGAGAAATACCTAACATCGATCGTTCCATGGCTCTTTGGGTAACACAAATTTTGTTTCCTTACTTAATTCTTCTTCTTTAAGTTCCATCTTCTATCGAAGGTTGGAAATCATCATGGCTATGCGGACTCTGTTGACTGCCGCTCTAAAAAGTTCTGCACCACTGCATTCAAACCATTCCCTCAAGTTCTTAAGCCAGGATATTCTTCGTCTTCCCACATTTCGCTTTCCTCGGATTTTGCCCTGCATAATAAGTTGTAATAATGCGTATTTTTGCCCTCTCATCACATGTCCCAAGTACTCAAGTTTTCGTCTTTTAATAATTAATATTATTTCCGCCTCATTTCCTATCCTTCTAGTTACTTCCATGTTTGACATTCTTTGAGTCCATGATATTCGTAGGATTCTTCTGTAACACCAAAATTCAAAGGCGGCCAACTTATTCAGATGAACTTGTTTTAGTGTCCAAGCTTCCAGACCATAAAGAAGAGTAGAGAACACGTAACATCGAAGCATTTTCAGGCGTAGTTCTAACCTTATATCCCGACAAAAAAGAAACTTTTTAAGTTTAATAAATGATGTACGTGCTATTTCAATACGTGTCTTAATTTCTTTGGTTTGGTCTACATCTGATGTTATCCATGTTCCTAAGTATTTATAGTTATTAACACTCTTAATTGCAGTATCTTCAATAGTCAATTGGATATTTGCATGTGCAGATTTAGTCATGATCATGCATTTAGTTTTCTTTAACTTTCTTCTACTTTATTGGTTAGTGTTAATGTCTCTGCACCATATGTAAGTATTAAGAGTGAATAATATAACTAAACTGTAATGGTATGTATCGCAAAACGAGAAAACATAAAACAAAATAGGTATATCGGTGGAAGGGGTAATTGGTCGCATTGCTCCTGTAGTGACCCTCTCTCACACGCATTACACTTTTTTTATTTGTTTTAAACGTTTTAACGCTTGCCATTCCTTTTCTCAGGTAGCTAAAGGTGTAGCAGACTTTCTTTTTGGTTCTACTTGTACTGTTTAATAAACTAGTATGATTAGCAAAACGGGTCAATATAGTCAATATATATGATTATTCCAAACAGCAATTGTGTAGTTAACTAATATTTGTATTTTTAAAAATTGTAGGTAATAATAAAATTTCTTTTATTTTAGGTATGAAACTAGTAACGGAATTAAGCGCCAAGAAACTGGTTCATATCATCCTAACAACCAAGAAGATGGCATATTAAAAGTAAATGGGCAGTTTGAATACCCATCACCAGACGGATACCAGGTGTCAGTAGTGTTCGTCTCAGATGAAAAAGGATATCGTCCTAAAGTTTCAATATCCTCTGGCCCTATAAGCCCTCCTTTGGTAGGTGTACCTGGAAATGCTTTCGTAGCATTCGACAATAGAATAAATGTGGGAGAAAAGTCAATATCCTCTTCGGCAATCGCGTCTTTGGCCGGTGGAGGCTTGGGAAAATAGTTTTATTTTACTATGTCGATAATAACTAAAGGGATGTTTTATAATAAAATGACTTTTACTTTACCTAAATAAATAATAACAGACAACAATCTACGTTGATTTAATTCAATTTTAAGGTATTGAGTTTCATAATTTTATGCATATAAGATAATAAGAACGATAACCCCCTCTGTGGCTCAGTGGTAAGAGCGCCTGCCTTTAAACCTAAGGGTCGTGAGTTCGAATCCCACCTGGGTGGAAATTTTTGTTTATTAAAAAAAAAATTAATAAATGAAAATAATTTCTATCCTGGTGATCGGTACACACTGGAGGGACCGCAGACGTTCGGATACAATTAGCGTCTCTTAGCAAAGACAATGACGTCGACTTTGCTAAGTATCAAGACAATTACTCTACACACACACCATCGAGTAAAAAGACAAAAGAGGGAATCTAATCCTTATGAAAAGGAGACCAAAAAAGTGGCCTCTGATGGCGGACATTATTAACAGTAGCTATATAATATTTTTCAGAATGTGTCTTAGACGAGAAAGTTTTAATTAATTATTAACGGTAATAGTCTAAAATACGACATAATTGTTAAAAAACTTCAATATAAATAAGATTTCATGTGACATTGGGACAAACAATAACATAACCCAACTTAATTTGATGTCAAACAAGGAGTGAGACTCTCTTTCCTTGTTTAATGTGGCCTCTAAAGATCGCACTTCCTGTCTAACAATATTTTTGCCCCCACTACCTTTACATTCCCTCTATTGTCTTTTTGCTCGATGACACACACACACACACACACACACTACACCTCAAATTGTAAGATTGGCGAATGGATTTAGTGTCCGCAGTCATTTAAACACAAACAAACAACAACAACAATAAGAACGACGGACTGTTAATATAAAAAACCGAGATCACAACTTAATTCTTCTCATAGGTAATTACTAGAAAGCAATGACCAGCAACTTATTAAAATAAAACGTATAAATCTAATGAACTATTTAAACGATGAAATATTAGCGTCGTAATTTTATATTCAATAATTTTTAAAAATTTTTCCTTTATATTCTCCTATTATATTACGTGGTTTTGTACTTGAATGTGGTCGTTATCGTAATTTTTACTTTTACATAAAATAGTAATTTAATATTGTGTCCTAAATGTCTCTTTACCATTTTACAGTCTCTACGGATTTTGACTCGGCGTCATTCATTTTTAATCCATACCTGCCTGCCTGTTTCTGGCTGAATTTTAAATAAAATAAATTTTGTAAAGTCTGTTGCGTTTGGATCTGATTCGAGTTCCTTACCATCCTCTTGTACCTTTTTCAGCATTTACCCATCATCAGACCAACTTGTAAGAAGACTGGAACCAAATCAAAATGTACCGAAATATGGAAATTGCCGAAAATTGGGTCAAAATTTTTGGTCCTGCTCCTTATTATTTCTTAAGACCTTGTCAGCGCGTGGTTACACTCTAAATATTATTGACTTACTGACTTCATTGGCTGCAATCTTGTGCCATTTGGATGGCTTTATATAGGGATATCCCACCAGAGGTTTTATTTTATCAGCTTATTGTGTTAAAGAGCTTCCCTTGGTCTATGCTTTCCCAGTTTTCATTTCTTTAATTGTGTGTTTTACTTCACTTTCTGTTAATTCTGGTCCTGCCTCTTCAACGAAATATTTGAAGGGGTTAGAAGTAAAACCGCCTAAGCAAAATTTTCACCAAAACGACTTTAGTGATGTTTCACGTTCTGAATATCTTATATTGTTTATAAAAACATGTATAAAAACAACCAAAATGAAATTCACCAATCGTTAAGAGCAGAAATCGCCTTAGCGCACCTAGGCTGTTTTACCTCCAAACAAGCGGCTGGATATAAATATATTTTTTTTACTTATGTTGTTTGGGTTCCACTCAACGGTTTGGATTTGTTTATGTCGTGTAAGTTATACTTCTTTAGTAGATTAACAGCAGTGTTTCAAGTGATACTATTGTTTGCAGAAATGATATATTTTGTCATTATAATATTTGGATCATGTTTTTTGAGTTTTGATATTATTTCTAGAGTCAGATAGTGATCCATACGCTACAGATGGAGAATCTGATTTTATTCCGAGTGAATATGAAGAAGATAACGACAGCGATAATTCTATAATATCTGCCGAGTAAGCAACTATAAGCATACATGTGGAGTATAATATTTGAGTAGTAAAAGTGTGTGTTTTAGCTTGTTAGTTTTAATTTAAGCGTAATATCCCTAGCAAAAATTAATTTATTATGTAAATATTAAACTTGTAAATACCGGTAAATTTAGTACCTACCTTACAGTTATGTACTTTTAGAAATTTCGAAGTTAAGTTCAACTTAAGGGTTTAACATATTTTTCCTTTTCAGTAATTCCTAAAATTTACCGAAAAAGGAAGCGTAACATACATGCATGGAAGAGGAATAAAATCACAAATAAGGGGCTTGCTGGCCAAGAATATGAAAGCAGAGAAAAATTGAAGAGAAAGAAATGTGTCCAGGAGTATATGCATACGCGTGTAGGTACCAATGTGGAATATTTGAAGACCTGCCCGGAAAAACGTTGTAAGCGACAAATTTTAATAAAGTGATGTTTTGGTGGAAAAACATTCTTGATGCGTTAAGCGAACTAGTGACACCATCTATTAGCATCAATTTCAATTCAATACCCTCCTTACAGAACTTCAAAACACGACGCGAGAGGAAAAACGTTACTTGTGCATTAAACATGGCGGAGTGTGGAGAGTTATCGTCTACATCGCGTGTCTTAAATCATCTAAACAAAGGTAAAAAACGACAAATAAATTTTAAAAACTGGGTGAAAGAAAAGCGTAAGCGCTTAAAAAACAGTGGACAATCTTACAAAAATTATAAAAATGTTCCTGTTCCAGAAAAATTGCCTCCTAATGTGGTAAGTGGAAAAACGTTACATGTGTTAACAATCTGTATATTCATATTTTTGTTTTAGGCTAGATCTTGTGCATGTTCGTTCAACGGATGTAAGTTAATTACCCTTGAAATGAGACAGAACTTATTTAATGATTTCAATAAAAAAACATACAATGAACAGTCACAACATTTGGGGTTATGTATGGAAGTAGAGGAGCCAAAGAGAAGAAGGGTACATGAAGCCACATCAAAACGTCAGTGTGCTGTAAAATATTTTTTGTTGATTGCTGGAAAAAGACAACAGGTATGCCAAAAAATGTTTTGTGAAACTTATTCTATAACAAAACGCAGAGTTCAAATTTTAATTGAAAAAATCAAGTCAAATAAAACATTATTGCTTGACTGTCGTAGAAAACTTGTAAATCGTCCAACAAAAACCAAAGAATCTGTAAAAGACCTAATCAGACAACATATTTCGTCTTTTCCATCTCAAGAAAGCCACTATTCTCGAAACTCCAACAAAAAACAATGCCTTAATCCTGACCTAAACACTAACAAAATGTTTGAGCTGTTTAAAATATTGCATCCAGAAATTGAAGTAAAATTCCATACTTACAGAGAAATATTCAAAAAAGATTTTAATTTACGTTTTGGAGTTCCTCGCTCCGATACTTGCAAAGTATGTGATAAAATTTTTATAAAACTGAGTGCTGCAGAGAACGAAGAAGAACGAAAGAAGCTTCAAACTGAATCCGAGCTACATCACCGAAAAGCAGAAAGTGCATATTCATCTTTGAAAGCTGATGAAGAAGCAGCTAAGGTAAATTCAAATGTGATAGTTTTATGTGCGGATTTGCAACAAGTCATTTTTATACCTAACTTATCACATTCCGATGTTTATTACCAGCGTCTGTACGCAAATTACAATTTTGCTATCCACAATATGGGAACCTCTGAAGCTACTATGTGTTGTTGGCATGAAACTGTAGCAAAGAGGGGCAGTGCTGAAATTTCTTCTTGTATTTTAAGGTATATTCTTGAGAATTTTAAGATACTAGAGGTTGGAGCAGAACGAAAACTTATACTATGGTCTGACCGATGTGTCGACCAAAATAATAATTGGAAGATGATATCATTGTGTCACTATCTAATGTCAGCAAAGTTCTTTACTGAAGTAAATCAAAAATTTTTGGTATCCGGGCACAGCTTTTTACCCTGTGATAGGGATTTTGCATTCATCGAAAAGATGAAAAAAAGTAGTCAGCTATATTCCACTCAAGATGTACTTGAGCTAATCAAATCAGCAAGATCAAGAAAACCTTTTCAAGTAGTTGAAATGAAACAGGAGGACTTTGTTGACTTGACCTCAGTTGAGAGTCAAATTAAGAAAGATAGTATTAAAATAACAGAAGCACGTTGGATACAGGTCACAGCAAACGAACCGACTGTTCTGCGGATAAGACAAATGCAACCATGGCGGACATCACCTTTACTAAAGATACCATGAGGACGAGCTGCAGTCCGAAATACAGTTTACAATCTAATTGAACCAGAAACCTTGCCTCCACTGTACAGAGAACCTTTAACTATATCTGATAAGAAAAAAGCAGACTTGCTGAAAATGACTGAATGTTTAGCAGAACAGTATAGATCATTTTATTGCGAATTACCTGCACATGCAACTTAATATGATTTTGTTTATCTAGTATGTAAGTTTTATTGGGAATACATTTTTTTTACTTTTCAGTTTTTCGTATTTTCATTTACTGTAATTTTGGGACATTTTAATAATGCTCGTATTTTTGTATGTTAAAAATGTTGCAAGGAATATCGTTTATAAGCACAATCAACAAAAAAACGTTGCATGTGCGTTAACACTAGGTACACATGCAACGTTTTTCTTCTACAAAAAATTTCTTTTTGGTTTTTTGCGCTCATTAGTCTTTTGTTCTGTGTTATTTATATTCAAAGTTTTTACCTTACTAGTAATATACATAAGCAACACTTAAATTCACAAAATTTGGTAAATAATATTATCAAAATCGTTTTTTTGTGATTATCTAAAAAGTTTCATTTTGTCGTTTGCAACGTTTTTTCCGGGCAGATCTCCATTTAACGACATTAAAAGTAAACGACTCTTCTCTAAGTTGGACAGTTTACCAACCTGCAAACAGCTTTTTTAGCTTCATATATCAGAAAATCTGAACCTAAAAAGAAACTGGCTAATAGCAAAAAAATTACACTACAGAAATTAAACTTCTTGACCGCCGTATATGCAGACTTTTTCCTAAAAACTTTTGATATCAGAGACAGTCGCTTTAAGGTTATGTGTAAAAAAGTTAACAAAAACAATTTTGTGGAGCCTGATAAAAAGAAGAAAATATGTCCCAACCAACAAAGTATCAGAGAACGCAAGAAAAATAGTGATTGAATATACAGATCATTACTACGTAATAGGAGTCATTACTCTTATAATCAAAATCCAAATACGAAATACCTTTCGTCCGATTTAAACATTCGCAAAATATATAGTCTTTACAAAGATAATAATTGCACTGATAACGATAAACCCCCAGGAAGGGATGAGGGATTATATTTTCAATACTGAATTCAATTTAAAATTTCACCATCCTTATTCAACTCTTGTTATAAATGCGATCGGTTGGTAAACTTAATATCATCATCAACTGAAGATAAAAAAAGAAGTACGAGACAATTTAAGTAGCAAAAATGGCAAAATTGATAACAGCTGCTAGAGTTCATACCCCCATTTACCATCAATTTTATAATGATTTGACGCAGGAGTCAAAGCAGCAAAAAAACACAATGAAAAAGGAAGCACTGCTGTTAGGTTTTTTCTCAGATTATGAGTAACTCTGGTGTTTATAAAAAAGTAAAATTTGTATTTTTTTTAAGAAAAAATAAATATTAATTGAAAATTAAGCTTTTGTTTAGTTCTTTTTGTGTATTATAAATCAATTTTTGCTTAAAGGTAAAACAACCTAAGTGCATTTTTTTGTCGAAAGAGGTAAAAAAACTAAAATAATTTTCTCACCAGAAGTATCTTTAAAATTTTATACTTATTTTGAATTGTTTAATACTTTAAAATTTTTAATTTTGAACATCCAGAATTTTTAAAAGAGCAAAAACTTTGATGCTTTATTTCTCAAAATGTGTATTTTGCTACTTAGGCGGTTTTGCTTCTGACCCCTTCATTTGTTATCTATTTTCGATATCCACTATTAAATCCATATAACCAGATTTACATCTACGTAATTTTGCCCATTGATTTTGGAGTCTTCTGGTATGAAATTGATCACTGGGAAATTTTTGTTTCTTAGTTGGTTGAGAGCCTTCGCTACTTCTGCTCGTAAGATTGTTGGTTTTACCTCTCTGAGTGCATGTTTCTTGTATTCTGACACTGGTGTCTCTCTTAAAGTGTCTTTGTACAGTTCTGATCAGTCATTTTTCCATGTCTCTGTAATGCGCTCTATTTTAATTTTTAATTACCGTTTTAAATGACTTGAAGTTGTGGTTTTGTGGTTATTATATTGAAGGTAATTATTCTTGTATTGCCCACCTAAGTTATAAATGCCATACAAATATATTTGATTAAAATACCATACAAAAAAACACTATTTTCATAGTAATTGCTATTCTACCTTTTATTTATATGTCTGGATCTAGTTTGTTCGTATGACAGTTCTTAATTATGTAATTTTGTGAACTTTTTAACTTGAACTCCATTTAGTTGAAGCTATGCATAAAATGATCTGACATACTGTTATGAATGTATTTTATTTTACCGTTTAACAAAATACGATTTTATAATAAAAATAACCCAAAGTGTTTTATCATAAGGTAAAACTTGCTCGTAAAAATAAAAAACTGCCACACTTTTTCAATTGTTTCTCTAGTTTTCTTTAAAATTTTGTTAGTTTTTTATACTCGTATTATTAATTGTTTAATATTATGAGACATCAAACATAATATTGTTCTGAAGCTATTTTCTTGTGTCATCTTAAAGTAAATACTATTTTAATGGGAATAATCCACAATTGAAGTTTAAAATAAGTTTATTGACGTTTCAATTTCCACTTCAGAAATCGTTCTCAGGCGATGAAAAATAACATACTACATTATCTATTTAAAATTTTTATTTATTTCCAGCGAACACAAAAAAACTTAATATTTCATATATAGCATATTAAAAGCTTACCTTATACATAACGGTTTAGATAATAATATTTAATAATATTTAATGTAATTGTTATTTCATATTTTTATGATTGTTTTAGTGCATTATGGTACAAACATTTAATAAAGCTTAATTAGATATTATAGATAACATAAATCTCTATCGAAAGATGTTTGCGTTAGACAAGAAAAGCTGATCGAACCGATACGTCATATGTACAGCAAAAATACAAAAGGATATATTTGAATTATTACAACATTAGTATTACAACAAAAACAATAAAATTACAGCCAGTCCCTTTCAGCAGCTTCTACGCATAATAAAATCATCTTTTTTAGTGCAATTGGATGTATATCTTCAACTGTCATTTCATCCAAATTTTCGTGATCAGCTTTTCCTTTCTCTCCAAAAATAACTTTCGGTAGCATGAATAAAGCTCTTACAATAGCCAATTTTCCTGTTGTTTTAAATTCTTCCAAAAGATTTTCATATGAAAAACAGTCGTTATATAGATCCAATTTTTTTAATATGCAGATAACTTCTTCATAATAATATTTAATTAAGCTGTCGAGATTATTTTTAAGGCAATCATATTCGACACTGCTGAAGAGAAAAAAAATTATATCATCTGCCGGCGAACCGACTTGGCTCATTTGAAAATCAACAAACTTATTTTTAACTGCTACATCGTTTTCGATAACTTGCATTGTATTATTGATCCACATATCCTGATGTATAATTGTCGAAAACGTTCTCATAGACTGGTTATTAAACATCTTTTCTGGAGCCTCCTCCATTAATTTCGTAAAATCAGCTAACATTTTCATTAACTTATCAGCCACTGTTTTATATTTATCATTTGCACTTAATGTGTCTACCATTATTTTAAAAATCGATGGTGGTTTTTTATCTTTCGGCTTTGGTGGAAGAGACATGGACATATTTTTAAATAATCTCGTAAATTCTTCAGGTTCCAATAACCTTATTGCTAGCGGTACTGCATGGAACGTTGCCAGATCTTTTAAAATTAGTTTAGATGTAGCCAAATCAAATCCCACATGCCTGTCCAGATTTTTGTACCCTAAAAAATGAATATTGACGATTACTAATATTGAAAGCAATAAAAAATGTATACTTATTTAATGGACCAGAGTATGATTCAAAATGTATTAAAAGAGAAATATATCATTAGCTTATAGTACAATAGAGAGGCTTTGTTCTCAATACAAGTCTTATTTCAGAGATGCAGAGACGTCAACTGCGACGTATACGCATGTCTGCTTGATTACGAGAAAGTGTTTGATCGAGAACAGCACGCCAAGATGATGCAAATACTAAAAGAAGGAGGAATTAACAAACAAGATCTGAAAATCATTAGATATCTTTACTGGAATCAGATAGCAAACCCAGAGTTGAAGGTGAACACACCAGCTATGTGAAAATCATGCGTGGAGTGAGGCAAGGCTGTATTTTGTCTCCTCTAATCTTCAATCTGGCTAGCGGCTTAACAACATCAGATATTCAGATGACACCATAGTATTTGCGGACAACTTAGAAGACCTACAAGTTCTTATGAACAAAATCACGTATTACAGTCAACAATATGGACTCAATATAAATGTTAAAAAGACAAAGCTTATGATAATTAGCAATAAAAGAATAACAGAAGGTCAACTCTACGTCAACCAATCTCATGTAGAAAGAGTGACGCACTACAACAACCTTGGCACCATAATAAATAAAGAATGGACCAACAACCAGGAGATTACAGGATCCCTCTTTAATTGGATGGGGGCCTTCTTCAAGAGTCACAACCTCTCTCTTGATACAAAAGTAGGAATACTGCGATGCTACGTCTACTCTGTCCTTTTATATGGTATTGAATCGTGGACCTTGAACGAAGATATGTGAAAAAAACTGGAAGCATTTGAGACGTGGCTATATCGGAGAATAATTAAGATACCGTGTACTGACCGAGTCACAAATGAGGAGGTCCTTAGAAGAATGAATAAGAACCGAGAGGTACTGACCAGCATTTAATCTCGAAAGTTACAATTCTTCGTACATATTATGCAAAATAAATCCAGATATGCCCTTTAAGCCATCGTGCATCCTGCAAGAACATCTTGTTTAAAGAACCTCAGAATCTGGTTCAATACAACATCTGTGCAGCTTTTCCGCGCTGCTGAAGATAAGATAAAGATTGCCATGATGATCGCCAACATTCGTAACGGATAGGCACATCAAGAAGAAGAAGAAGAATAGTACAATGTTAAATGGGACAAAATGATAAGTATAAGAAAGACAATTTTAAAAAATTAGCTTTTAGAATAGTTATTTAGTTTTACTGACCCAAAAAAAATGACTTTTTGACAAATGTATTTTTTGACTACCCTAGACATTTGAACAAATGACATCATGTTCAGATTTTTCGTTAGCCCTTCACTACATCATGTTGTTTAAAAAAAAACATACTAAAAATAAACAATTATTTTAATAGCAGATAAAGAAGACTCAGTTTGTGCATGACGTTGTTCACTAACAATGTAGTATTAATCGGCGTAAGTAGACTAAAAATAATCATAGATGGTGTTGGTTGCCAGTATTGTGTCTTCTTAGTTAGGTCACAGAATAATAAACAATCAGAATGACCACTCTCAGATGCCGCCTTTGAAGTTTTTCAGCACGCGCGCCATGTTTTAGAAGGAAACACATAACACAGACATATGATTTGTGAGGTTATGTAATTGTTTATATTTATGTTTAAAGTTATGTTATTATATTTAGCAATGTTAATATAATTGTATGGTATGTCTATGATTGCCGTAAGTAAATTAAACCGGGTTAATTTTTCTATGCACACCACATAAACATCACTGGTTCCCTCTAAAACATGGCGGAACGTCTGCGCGAAGGAAATGCGCGTACCTAATTTTCCATGGAGAGTGGGCATTCTGATTGTTATTATTCTGTGGTTAGGTAGTGTACACAGAAACAGACATTGATACGTGCTACAGATTGTTTTTGTTAGTTTTACCAAAGTAATTTGAGTTAATATATTTAACGTATTATTAAAAAGGTAAGTAAAATGCATTGTTTCTTGCGGTATACATAATGATGTTTTTTGTTGTTGTTTACAAACTACATCATGCATATCTAGTAAATTTTATCTTTTAAATAAAACATTATGAGTTGGAAAGATAAAAGGCCTCTGACTGGCAAGGAACTTGCCGATATAATAGATAGGCTTTGGGATAGCGAAGATGGGTTTGATTATGATAATGATGATATTGTCGATCTAGATTTCTTACCTAACAAACAAGTTGGTACATATGATGAGTCAGATAATGAGGATTCTGAACCAGTGAACGAAATTAATGAGAATTCTGCAGACACTAATATAATTAATAGCACTGTAGAGTAGGAGCCTCCAAAACTCTGGTTCACTCCAAGGGCAAAGATTTACTAATTTTACAGTCAATTTGTGATCAAAAATACTAGTTTTTTTTTATTTTTAGACATTATATGGAAAAAAAATTAAACTTATCCGAACAACAAGTGGAATTTAGAGGAAAACAGAGTCTTCCACCAAATGATATCCTACAACTAGAATGTTCCTATGAATATTTTAATTTATTCTTCATGGATATCCTTTTAGACAAAATTGTGAAGGAGTCAAATTGATATGCCATACAGTACAATCCTAATAAACCACTGAATATTACAGAAAGTGACATAAAACAGTTTATTGGTTATTATAGTTTATTGTTATGATATTTACATATCATAACAATATATACATACATATATATATATATATATATATATATATATATATATATATATATGTATATATTGTTATGATATGTAAAATCAAGAAAATATCGGTTTGTTTAAAAATATTTCAAAGTTCCAAAAACTTAAAATAATTTAGATAAGTAGGATAATAACCAACAAACATTTCGAAGAAGGAAAGTCTTTAAATTTTTGGATTACCTGTATTGAACAAAACGTAAGATATGCATAAATTATTTTCTTTGTTAGAATATACTTGAGTGACCCGCAAGTTTAAGTGAAATCAATAGACAATTGAAGCGGTTTTTCCAAATAAATGTTGTGCAGTAATTAGCACAATAGAATAGATTTTAGAAAGATATGTTTTTGTTAGTTTTAAGAATTGGTAGGAAAAGATTAATTTATAAAATGGTTTTAGGAAATTTTATAATTGTAGGTAAAAATTTGTGTGTTATCGAAATGAAGAAATGGGAGATATATGAAGCGTTTTGATTGGATGAGATTGAAATAAGGTGGGATGATTGGTTTAACAATAAGACTTTAGTTAGTTTTTAAAATAGAAAAGATAGTCAGTTGGTTTCTAAGGGTGTAAGGCGAACGGCCGTTGTTCTCGGGTCGTTTCCCAGAGGTAGGAAGCAGTAGCAGTGAAAGTTTGTGAGTTTTCGTGTAGTTAGTGTATCTGACAGAAGCTGATCCAGTAAAAGATTGTAAGTTATATTTTCTACTTATATTCCAAGAGTCACTGTTCAGGGCAACGAGACATTCAGTTTATCGTAAAGAAAATATATTCCAAGAGTCATTTTTCACTCAGGCCAACGAGAGACTCAGTTTATTGAGAGAAGAAGAAGCTAGCATAATTTGATCGATTCGTGCATTTGAAGGAGATCATTAAGGACGAGAAACTTGCAATAATTTGTTGTAAGATTGCTGATTACTTAAGGAGCGATTAAGAGTAGATAGTATAGACTACAAGGAACAAGGATTTGGACCACTCGTCATCAAAGAGAGATAGTTTTGTTTTCTGCAGTTTTTTTCTTTTATTGATAACATAATTTTTACACTAATTGGAGATTTAGAATAATATTTGGGATTTTGAGATTTCAACAAATATTGTTTGTACCATTAATTTCTAAGATTCACGTACGTAGAACAAAATTTTGAGAATCATTATATGATATATTGTTTATTGAAAACATTTGAGTGTGAATTTTATTTCATTATTTTATTTCAATATATAATGTTAGATCCTATATGTTTTTTATTATTCCGGTATTC